TTTTTTTTTTTTTTTAACACACATGTAATTAATTGTTAGTTAACAGAAAAAAATGCGTTCGAATTCTGATGGAATCAGAGGAACACACACAATCAAGCTACCTTTTTCCCCCGAATACAACGTACGGTACGGTCATTATAGCTGTATGTAGACTGAAAGATACCCCGTATGGAGCTATAATGACCGTACGTTGTATTCGGGGGAAGAAGGTAGGTGCTATCCCCCTTCGAAGCAAAATAAATAAAGCTGCATAGACAAGGTTGACCAGATACTTTGTAGTTGGTTGGGGTAGCTTTGAAATGATTTCCCGGGCGACTTTCTCATCTCAGTGGGTGAACCCGAAGTACACCACAGAGGGGTTCCATTCCCCATGGCATCCATTCGAATGGATGCCGTGGGGAATCGAATGGATGCCATGGGGAATCGAACCCACGACGCCTTGTGTACCACTTACGTGCGCAATCTCCTGACTGGTTCTAGACCGTTGATCTTTCTCGAAAAAAAAAAAAAAAAAAAGAACGTTGATCTTCCTTTCCAGCCTACGCCAGGTCGTTCAGGTCGTTAGGAGCTTGGGAGCTGCTTCCCCCACAGAGCAGAGGTCGGGTCAACCCAGCAGTCTCTGGAACGGCCAGCTTGTCTGAACAGATTATACATTGAAAAAAAATATACAATTCTACAAAGAAGTAGATATGTAGGTCGGGTTTAAGAAAAGCGGCAACAAAAAGCGGTTTAGTGGGAGTATAGGAGAGCTAGCTTCAACTGGGCCCGGTTCCCAGTTTGTGCCAAGTTGTGAGGATATGGTTGTATCCAGGGTTGCCGGCGTTCGGGACGGGACGAACACCCGAACCCGAACGCCTGAACGTTTGGGAACCCCTCTCGACGCGTTCGGACGTTCGGCCGAACGCGGAACAAAAAAAAAAAAAACAAAAAAAAAAACAAAGTTTCCAAAAATTCTGAAAAAACACTATGTCATGCAGAAGAATAAACTAAACAACATTTGCCTCAACAGTACATCCAAATTTCTTACCAAATTTGAAATAAAAATCAAATACGAAAAATAAATAATATTAATGAAAATAAGAAAAAATAAAACGAGAATGAAATTATTGCGTGGGCGAGCAAGTTTCTGACACCGCCATCTTCGGCGATTTTTCATTTTTTTTTGGCTTTGTCAAATGCCATGAAATTTTATACATGTGTGTCTTACATCATAGAGAACCTACAAATAAAGTTTGAAAAAATAATATATTTTTTCAGGCCCCGAAATAAAGGGAAAACAAAAAGTGAAAAGAGAAAAAAAACAAATTAGTAAGTGGGAAAGCAAGTTTTGACACCACCATCTTTGCCGATTTTTCATTAGTGTTTGGCTCCACATGACTTCAAAATTGAGAGACAGGTAGCTTACATAACAGAGAACTCACAAAAAAAAAATCAGAAAAAAATAATAATTTTTAGGTACCAGAATAATTTTTTGCGGGGTCCGAAACCCTTCGAACGCCCGAACGTTCGGGGGTCAGCTTAGGGGCCTCCGTACGTTCGGGGGTCAGCTTAGGGGCCTCCGTACGTTCCGCCTGGCATCTCTGGTTGTATCTATGGGACGCTGGACCGGGTTTCCAGCAGGTGCTGCTCCCCACAAATAGATGGAGCTTGTTTAAAAAAAAAAAAAAAAAAAAAGATCCGGTTATACCTCGGGAAAAAAAAAAAAAAGGAGAGCTAGCTTCAAGAGTTAATTGGTCAGCATTGCAATATGAAGAAATAGTTAGGGTTGGAACCTTGAGTGTGTAGGAAGCTATAATTGTCTCGTCTTAATCCAGTTGGGTTGTTGTTTAAGAAAAGTATGTAGATTGACAGGAGAAAGGGACACTGGACCCGGTTTCCAGTACAAGCCTAATCGGGGTAATGGGCCCAGTTTTCCGGGTTGAGATGTGGAGGGATTCCCGGCCTCCTTTTACTCAATATATAATGAAGCAGTTATTAAAAAAAAGAAAAAAAGAAAAAAAGATAGGTAGGTGGGTAGGGGAGCATATAACGAGAGAAGAATATAGGGTAGAGTTTTCTACAAGAGAAATGAGGTCCCCGGGCCGCCCTCCTTTTCAAATGCCATGCTAAATTCTGAACATAGTGAGATCACAGGGATGGTATTTCATATATATATATAACCTTGAGTCCTTGACAACACCCGCTGATTGCATTTTGTCAAGCAAGAGGCCCTGGCATTTGTCATGCTGTTTATTGCGCTATTGGCCCTTTGGGCCAAATTGCGCTATTGCCCCTTTGGGTCAACTTGCGCTATTGGCCCTTCAGAGAACAGTGGACTACCGTGTTCAGCAGAAGGGAATGCATGGTCATTATCGCGGTATTCGGAACCCTCCAAAAGAAGCCAAAACAAAACCTAAACCCTACATGCATTTAAAAAAAAAAAAAAGAAAAAAAAAAAAAGGAAAGAAAGGTAACTTCAGTATGGTAGTATACTATATACCAACCAGTTTGAAAACTTTCAGTTCCTATGAAAGCATAGAGGTCTGTCTGTCTGTGAAAAAGTTGGTATGTATAGCCGCCTTAGTAGTACTTCTTCTTCTTCTTTTTTTTTTTTTTTTTTTTTTTTTTTAATTAAACAGATCCTTAGTAGTACTGGTTTCTGGATTCAAAAAAGCAGATTTTTTTTTTTTTTTTTTTTTTCCTGGAAACATGACAAAGCTAGCTGGCAATGCATTCTCTTCAGGTGAAGATGGTGGCCTGGATAGGATATAATTTTCTCGCCTGAGGGCATTTATTTACAGGTAGATTGCTATGTGGTCAGCGACAGGGCCCCCCTTTGTCTTGTGATGGCCGTTTTGCTGGGCGAGGCGAGTTCTGCTGCACGCTTGTTTTCCTCAGTCTCGCTCTGTGGTGTGGTGGGGAGAACAAACTACCGTCCTCACCCGAATAAAGCGCCCGGTAATTTTTGCTGCATCTGGACTGCAAATTGTGTCAAATGCATCTGTTCTAATGATGACCGGGCGTTCTATTGGGGTGAAGACGGTAGCAGTTGGAACCAAAGCCATGAGTTTTTTTCGTCAGCAAGGAGGATCACTTCGTCAACAGATTGTACATCGTACATATCCGTTGAAGATAATAGAGTTAAGTGCTTTTTTCCTTTTTTTTTGTAAAAGCGAGCCCCAGTCAAGGGTGGGCGGTTTTCCGTTTTTTCCTCCGTGTTTTTGCAATCAGAGAAAACCAAGTGAACCCCTTTTTTTGAGGCTTTGATACATCCCCTCTCAATCCTTGCAAGTACCCTGGAGTTTGGGTACAATACTGAGACTGAACCCCTTTTTTTTAGGCTTTGATACATCCCCTCTGAATCCTTGCAAGTAGTCTGGAGTTTGGGTAATATGCTGAGAAGGGTGGACGATTTTCCGTGACCTGCTTTTATTGTTTCCCCCCAACCTACTTTAACTCGATCCCTTTGATCAGCAAACAAATGCAGTGCTCATGACATTAAGCTCATGGCGCTGGGCAAAAAATTATTCCAAAGCAAACAAGCACCCTTGGAAGAGTGGTGCGCCCGTATCGCACATAGCTAAGACGTCGAAAGTTCGCGTCTGCCACTTCGTGCTTGTCGTATTGCTCCTTTAGGGTCTCATATATGTATTTGTCCAATTGATGTAACGTAATGTTACATAGTAGAGGCCCCCCCTCCCGCCCTCCCCTTCCTTCTGTTCGAACTTCGAAGTGCATCGGAGACTCTTAGGGTGTACTCACACTAGGACTTTTCTCAATGAATCTGACTGCAATTGCGGCTGAATCCATGGAAGTGTCTAGAACGGCATTGACCCCCCTGCAGAGGAGAAAAAAAGTCCTGGTGTGAGTATGCCCTTAGACTTCCATAGGCAACAAAGCTTAACCCACAGCCTGCAGCTGTACCCATGACACTTTGCTGCCAATGGCGGGGCCCGACCAAAAACTAGATTACTCTGAAGTGCCTTGGACTTAATTCTTTACCTCCTTAACAGCATGGCTAATTACTAATTACTAATCACTAATTACTAATCACTAATTACTAATTACTAATTACTAATTACTAATTGGCAGTAATTGCTAATTAGCGATTGCTAGTTAGTAGTTAATGATTGATTAGTTTGAGTACCAATTAGTAATTACGAATGAGTAATTTTTCGTGGCCTGATGTGATAATTAGGACCCCGTTTCATGCAGGGAATCAATCCGTCAACTCCCTGTTCCATCTTCAACTCTGTCAGAAGAATACCAACGGGCCTACCGTCTTCACCTGAATAGTACGCCCGGTCATTATCGCTGTTTCTGGATTGAAAGTCGCCCCATGTACAGCTATAATGACCGGGCGTTCTATTCGGGTGAAGACGGTATCTCAGAGTTGGTACACCCCCCCTGAACGGCTTATGAAATGCAGACCTGAGTCCGAACTCCACTGGAAGCACAAGAGTAAAATTACGAGCATTCAGAATTACCAGGGGCAGGTCATTTTTTTAACTCTGTGAGAAGAATAGTAGTTCTTTGCTGTGAGTGTCATTCTGTCTGGGAAAGTGTGGGAAGCTACGTTTCGTCTTGTTGTCTGTTGTTGAACCAGCTACCGTGCGTGCTCCTCAGACGATAACAGTCTGCTGTCCCTCTGATTAAAGCGACGCCCGCTGTTAATCTCAGATGCAGCGCAATGAGTGTCCCTGTCAGGCTGGCACCATTCGAATTGTAGGGGAGGGAGGACAGTCCTCTGTCTACTGCTGAACTGTCGGTGCATGTGACCCATGGTTGCTTCGAGAAATAGTTACGTACATCGCTGTTGCTTGAGTAATCAATTCTACGACCTCTTTCAAGAGAACACAGGGAAGGAAGGAAAGGTGGACACTTTGTCCAGGACTGAAGAAATTGGAAAGATTTGTGAGAGGACGAGTGGGATTTTTTTTGGGGGGGGGAACTGGGGAGGGGGGGGGAACGGGGGAGGTTGTAATCGAGGGATGGAGTCAGACGGATACCTGGTTTAACGGTGGTGAATCATAAATAATGTGTGTCTCTGTGGCAGGTGAAGTCTGTAAGTGCATTCGGTGGCAGAGATTCAACATTTCCAGAGAATCCAGCAGCCGCGAACAAGGGTCAACCCTCATCTCAAGCAATGGGGAGTTGTTCGGCTTCTGCAGAAGAGCCAGTATGTGGTGGCGAGGACCCATGTCTGCAAAAAATCTTTCGCGGACATCGCGACACTGTTACTGGACTGGTGTTCAATCCAGAGATGAAGCAGCTGATCTCCTGTTGCCTGGACGGCTCTCTGATGGTCTGGCCTTTCAAACCGCAGGAACGGGCGTTCCGCTTTGCGGCTCACAAGGCGCCCGTTTACTGCCTGGCCTTCTCACCCACTGAGTGCATTGTTGTCTCTGGGTCAAAGGATCAGACCGTCAGACTCTGGATCCCAACAGTCGAGGGAAAGTCAACGGTGGTGCGAGCGCACAACGGAACGGTGAGAAGTGTGTCATTTTCACATGATGGACGGTTTCTCTTGACCGGATCAGATGACAAGACAGTGAAGGTCTGGTCAATGGAAGGCCTTCGGTTTCAGAACACCATGGTCGGGCATACAAATTGGGTGCGATCGGCAGATTTCAGTGCTGATGGGAGGTTTGTGATATCCGGAGGTGATGACCGAACGGTTAGACTCTGGGATGTTGAGACCCATACATGTGTGCACACGTTCGAGGACCACGAAGGCATGGTTAATAGTGTCACGTTTCATCCAGAAGGACCATATGCATGCTCTGGCTCGTCCGATCACACGATCAAAGTTTGGGATGCACGGTCAAGGGCGCTTTCGCAAAGCTTTGGCGGTAATAGAGGGGCAGTAAACTCTGTTAATTATCATCCTTCTGGGAAGTACCTGCTCTCTTCGTGCAATGATACGTCTCTAAAAGTTTGGGATCTTAAAGGGGGGCATTTGTTCTACACCTTGAACGGTCACGAAGGCGCGGCCACGTGTGCACAGTTTGCACCCTCCGGCGACTTTTTCGCATCGGGTGGAGCCGATGAGACAGTGCTACTTTGGCGAACAAACTTCGATCGGGCACCCGAGGACTATGCGAATTCAGTCATTGCGAAGGAATTCAGCGCGGGTGCAAAGTCGGTCGAGCAGCCTCGCTCCTCAAGTCACATGGTTCGGAAGGGACCACCCGCAACGAGGCGGATTGCACCCACTCAGCAGCAGCTGCAGCAGCAGCAGAAGCAGCAGCAGGAACAGCAGCAGCAGCAGCAGAAGCAGCAGCAGGATCAGCAGCAGCAATCAAACTCACCAGGTCGAGTCAATGGCGGACAGGTGGACAGCCCTTCTGCCTCAGATGCTGGATCTGACAGTGGCGGACCGTCCCGTCAGAACGGTGATGTTGTTCCCTTTTTGCGCCGGTCGGACTCCAGCTCGTCTGGCAAAGCCCATGAAATAACTGGCGGACTGTATACCGGACCCCTTCAGCGAATCGCTCGACAGATGGACGTTTTGACGCAGACGATGGCCGTCTTTGAGGAGAGACTCACTGTCAATGAAGAGAAGATGAAGCGCATAGAGGACAAACTGGTTGTTATATTGGATCAGATCATCACTGGCAAGAACTCGCCAGCACAACTGCAAAGGAGTATGCAATCCCCCACAACATCTCCAGGAAGTCTTGAACTGCATTCATCGGTGGTCTTGGACGACAGTCGAATGACCACAGGTACCGTGGAGGAACCAGTCATTGGCGGCGCCCCGCCGGAACTGATGGTAACGACCAGATCCCACTCATCAGGGACCACTGGTTCATCAGCGGGCCCGTATGAGTCCCTAACCACAGCCAATTCTGCGCCCAATGTCAGCATCGCAAATCACGTACGGGCTTCATCTGCCAGCCATCCTGGAGATTCCACGTTGGTTTCTGCTGTGAACAGCTCCTCAACGTCGGACTCTGATAGAGATGAGAAAGTACCAGGCCATGCTCCGGCTCCAGGCACCGTCCCTCTTAAGAAGACATCCTCAACATTGGCTTCGCTAGAGATCCTCAGCAATCACGAAACAGAGACGCCTAGCTTAACAACACAAGGAGAAGATTGGAGGGTAAATTCAAGGCCACCGGTGGCGGAGATCGCAACCATTGCAGTAGAAGACGGGGAGAACATGTAAGTCATGTGAGGACCGCTCCCCTCACATTTGGAATCTGTCAAGGCAAGCAAATTGAACCTCCATCAGCAGCTGGAGAACAGGTCAGTGTTTGTTGGTATGCACTGCCGTCGGTTGCAGGTTCTTCAAGTCACTCACCCTGGACCCATCTCCTACGGGACCCAGGCGTAGGCCGGCTGCCATCTCTGCTGAACGGTCGGTTCGTTGCAGGATTGATTGGGTTGTAGGGAAATCCGCTTCTAAACCCCAGGCATTATGATGAGCGGGAACACACGGCTATCGGCAGAGGGAGGAAGTGGGTGGGATGGAGTTGCGCACTTCTTCATGTCATACACGATTGAATTCTAGTTGTTTCACTTGGTCAGCATGTTGAAAAGGTCGGTTGCTGATCTGTTCCACGATCTTTTTTTCCCCCCTTTTTCTGTCCTTGAAACGTTGGCACCATGTCCTGCGTCTTCTACATTTCATGCAAGCTGAAAGTACACACACATGGCTGAACAGTTGTTGCTTGCTTGCCAATGTATCCTTTCACACCATAGATGTCTATCGTTAGCCCGCTGTACCATCGCACTGCCGTGAGAGTGACAACTGCCGACGTATGGTCCTGTTATTCAGAGTTGGCGTTGTGGTCGTCAAACTGGCATGATGAGCATCCGTACCTGGTCCTCAAACTGGCATGATGAGCATCTGTACCTGGTCCTGCCCTTAGTCGGCCTGCTGCGAGGGACATCGGGCCCTGTTCCTCGCTCTGAACTGGCATGGGTGGACCTTGAGAGTGCCAGTTGTTGCAACTGGGACGTGGATCACACGGACCAATTTCTGCCGTTGGCATCGCAGCGATGGATGCTCAGGCATGGAGCTGCTGCAGGGAACCGACAAGCGTCCATTCTGATGACCTGTTCTTAAGTGTGTTGTACTGTCGTGCCCACGTTCTGACATCTCGTTGCAACGTGGGAACGGTCAGCATGGTTGCCGGGACCTGGTCATGGAGTCAGACCGGCCACCATGAATGTGAGGCCTGGTCCAATTGTTGGACCTACAAAGTTGGATGTTTCCGCCCCAATCCTTTTGAGTGGGTGGCTCTATCTGGGTATCGTTTGGCGAGCTGGCATGGTGGGTGTCCAAGTGTTGGTCTTCGTTGTGCCGTGGGATCGAGAATGGTGTGCGTCGTCGCCTGTCTCCTTCGTTTTTTTGGAGCATGAACTGACAGCTCGCCGGACCCTATCCTTGGTCTTGTCGACTCTGTCTGGCATGCTCTGTATTTACCTGGCCTTGATTGTCACGAGTATGAAACTCTTGTTTTGTCATGGGACCGAGAATGATGCACATTCTCCGCTGGTTTTTTGGAGCATGAACTGACAGCTCGCCGGACCCTATCCTTGGTCTTGTCGACTCTGTCTGGCATGCTCTGTATTTACCTGGCCTTGATTGTCACGAGTATGAAACTCTTGTTTTGTCATGGGACCGAGAATGATGCACATTCTCCGCTGGTCCCGGTGTTGGAGCTCGTCCGGTGGCTATCCCGATCTTGTCCTCCTCGGGTCGACTCTAGCATGGCGAAGCATGGCCGCCTCATGTTGACCTGGCCTTGATCATCATGGGTGTGCAAATCTCTTAGTCTGCCATGGGACCAAGAACAACGCGCATGCTTGCCTGGTCCTGCTGTTTGGACCTATGGTCCAATGGCTGGCGATCTGGACCTCATCGCTCTTGTGGTGACTCTGGCATGGGGTGAGTGTTCACCTGATGCTGATTTTTTGACCCTGATCATTTGGAATTGAATTGGCTATGGGGGAAGCCTGGCCCAGGTGTCCAGAGCTGGCAGACTGGACACTTGGCATTCGCACTTGGACGGGCATCAGATAGGCACAGCCTGCAGGTAGGGGTATCTGATGGTGTCTTTTCATTTGTCCATTGCACTTACACGGTGTGCGCTACTTCAAGAGTTGTCTTCACAACACTAAGAGGCAATTCATAAAGTTCCCCGTTCATATCTGGCCGACTTCTCAATCTCGTAAGCACTTGTCCTGAAGGCAGCGACAAAAGCCGCAGCTGACTACTGAGTGCTGGTGTCGGTGACGACATGGGAATCCCTCAGGTACTTCCTGGTTGAGCTACGCGTTTTTATGGGAAGACTTGTCCTTTGCGAGCCATCTGCGTAGGGGGACGTTACCCTGCTCTCTCTTCTTTTGCACAGTCTGCTATACTTGCCTCCTTGCTGATATATCTTCCATAGCAATGGTAGTATTCTTCCATCTGTGATAGCTCTGTTTGACGATATATATTACATAGATATGGCATATGCATACACACATGGCCTGCTGCCCGGCATTACGGAGGACTAGAGTTCCGCAGGTAAGAATGAATGTACGGGGAGAATAACATCAGCCTATTTTTTCGCGGCAGCGTGAGGTGCAACATGGAGGGGACTATGGGAGGCCAGAGGGACCACAAGAATCAAGAGCGATTCTAAGACGGGTCTGCCAATTCTACCTGTGGTATGCGATGTGATGGAGCGAACGTGCGGGGGAATCAATGGCTCCCTCCTGGTTTTCGGGACCCAACCGGGAAGCTCAGCCTGAAGATTAAGGCAGGGATTGCCTGAAGATGCAGTCAGGGATTATGGAGGTATGGCAACTCTGATTGGAAAGGTGCTCAGTGGGCCGATAACCGTGTCTGTTGACTCTGGTTAGCTTTTCCTTTCAGCTATTAGGGGTCAAATAGTAAGTACTAGGGTTAGGCGTCACTGCACTATGTCTATGCTCAGGTTTCCCCACTAAAGACCACCTAGACATAGTCCAGTGCCCCCCCCCCCCCCCTCTTCTCCTCTCCACCCCTTGTCCAAGCGGTCAACATGGGATTTAAGGGATTGCAATATCTCCCCACCTTGAAGATGCATTTCACAGGCCTCAAAAGTGCTTGTTTGCCTACAGGTGTTGATGTTCTCAGTCCTGAGATTACTAAGAGTACTGCTGTGCACCACTTGGGAGCTTAGTGAATATGTGCGATGCATGTACTGTGCCCCTGCAGTTGTCGGCAGCATTGGTATGTGTTTATTTGAAGTCTTTGCTAGGTCTATAGAGTGTTTTTTTTCTTTTTTCCCTTCTGTTATATCTCTACTGTGGCTATACTTTGCGCAGGCTGCACAGTCTTTTACTTGATTGATTCTCATGTCCTGTAAATCGGTGCACATGCGAGGGTTGGCCCACGGGCCATTCATTCACTCGCTGCTATTATTCACTTTTACGGTGTCTACGGTACTCGACAAAATGTGCAGTCTGCACCCAGTCTAAATGCACTGATCTCATGTTGTTTGTGCATGTGTGCGACAGGCAAGCATACCGCTGTGCTCTTGCGGTACGCATTGATTCGCATTGCTCACTGGTGCAGCAGTCGCCAGTCGGAACCTAACGATTGGTCAGGGGATCAATTCACTACTCAGCAATCCACCGATCGCCAGGGATTGGCAACCTGAGAGCAGGGAACTGTTTCGCTGATCGACCAACTGAGTGGGGAACCTGAGCACTGGGATCGAACTGGTTGCTTTTCAAGACTTTTAAAAGATCCAATTGCGCATCGTGGCGCTTGCTCATGGCCGTCATGCAGTTGCATAGAGACCACACTATTACTGTTCTGAAGACACTGCCAGACAAAAATGGAAGGAAGCGCACTCCCACTCCCACTCCCACTCCCACTCCCACCACCTTCAAGCAGTCTGCAGTCATGTCAAGGCCAGAGCCGCAGCATTAGCCAACTTGAAACTGAACCTCTGCTCTCAGCGACTCGCGGCCAAATGTTTTGCTAGTTCCACAATGCCTAGTCCGGCTGACGAGCCATCAGGTGTCTACCAGTACGTAGACGCCCGCTAGAGGAGCAGAGGTAGGTGCTTCTCACTTGACCTATTGTGACGAGGATGCTCCCAGAGCGGCCATCTTGGTGTCGGTGCCCACATCCACATGACCTGTGGTGCTGTTACCGCCTGCGCTGCTGTTCGTGAGCATGCATGTCTTTCCTTCTCTGCTCAGCAGTCGTGCAGTTTGCTT